CAGTATGATGTTGAAAAGGAGTGGTGAGGGGGGAACATTTTTGCCTTTTTCCTGGTCTTAGTGGGAAAGCTTCTAATTTCTCACTGTTATTGTTTGTGGATATTCTTTATTAAGTTGAGAAAGTTTTCCTCTATTCCTAGTTTTCTGAGTTTTTATCATGAATGGGTGTTGAATTTGTCAGATGATTTTTCTGCATCTATAGATATAATCATGTATTTTTTTAGCCTGTTGATATGGTGGGTTACATTTATTTTCAAAAGTTAAAATAGCCTTGCATACCTGGGATAAATCCCACTTGGTCACAGTGTATAACTCTTTTTATACATTGTATGATTCAATTTGCTAATACTTTGTTGAGAACTTTTGCCTCTATGTTCACGAGATATTGGTCTTTGGTTTTCTTTTCTTGTAATGTCTTTGTCTTGTTTTGGTATTAGGGTAATGCCTGCCTCATAGAATGAGTTAGGAAGTAGTCCCACTGCTTCTATACTCCGAAAGAGACTTTAGAAAACTGGTGTAATCCCTTCCTTAAATGTGTGGTAGAATTCGCCAGAGAATCCATCCAGGCCTGGTGCTTTGTTTTGAAAGGTTATTCTTTAATAGACATAGGCCCATTCAGATTTTTTTCTTATGTGAGTTTTTATAGATTATGTTTCAAGAAATTGGTTCATGACCTGGCTGGGTGGCTCTGTTGGCTGGAGCATCATATCATACACCAAAAGGTTGTAGATTGATTTTCAGTCAGGGCACATACCTAGACTGTGGGTTTGATCCCTGGTTGGGGTGCACACAGGAGACAATAGATCTCAATCTCTCTCTCTCTAAAAATCAATAAAAAAACATACTTTTGGGTGAGGATTAAAAAAAAGAAGAAGAAAATTGGTTCATTAACCTAGGTATCTAATTGGTGGAGTTGTTTATAGTATTCCTTCATTTTTTGCTTTGATGTCCATGAGATCTGTAGTGCTGTCCCCTCTTTTGTTTCTAGTATTGGTCATTTATGTCCTCTGTCTTGTGTTTATTAGTTAGCCTGGCTAGAGGCTCATTGATCCCCCGCCACGCCGCCCCAAAGAACCAGCATTTGGTTTCATTGATTTTTCTCTGTTGAGTTCCTGTTTTCCATTTCATTGATTTTTGCTCTAATTCTTATTCTTTCTTTTCTAATGCTTACTTTGGATTTAATTTGCTATTCCTTTCCTAGTGCATCCCCCTCCCCCTTATCTGTATCTCTCTGATCAGAGGCAGCAATCAGCACAGATGCCCACTATTTGGAAGACAGAGTCTTTTTTTGCCTACTCCAGCTTCCACAAGCTTGTGCAGACTCCTGCCTGCCACAGGGCTGATCTGAGGGGTATTTGCTACTATTTTAAGAGTTCAAACTGACCAAAATTAGCCACGATTTACCATTCAAAACTTCTCCTGGAGGTTGCAAACATTTAGGAGACTCCAGAATGCCAATATTGCATTGAACAGATTTTGCCACTGCAGTTTTTGTGTAGATGGGGAGACAGGTTCCTGATGCTTCCTACTCCACCATTTTGCCCAAATCCTGTTTGGTTCATTTCTAGTATTTATCTCTTTATTGATATTCTCTATTTAGTGAGACATCATTCTCATAGTTTCCTTTATCTTGAGAATATTTAAAATAGTTGATTGAAAGTCTTTGTCTAGTAAGTCTGACTGGGCTTCCTCAAGGGTGGGCTCAACATTATTTTACATGCCTGTGAATTTTTTTTTGTTGAAAACTGGACATTTTGCATATTATAATCGGGAAGTCTGGAAATCCATTCTCTTCCTTCCCCAGGGTTTATTGCTGCTTGTAGTTGTTCATGTTTGTGTGGTGGCTTTTCTTTACTAATTTTGTAAAGTCTGTAGTCTTTGTTGTTTGTGGCAACTGAAGTCTCTGTTGAGTTAGCTAAGTGGTCAACTGGTGGGTCATCACAGACTTCCTTAAAAGCCTGAAACCACCCCCAAAAGAAAAAAAAACAAACACAAAATTCTCCATCTACAGATGGGCTCTATATGTGTCTTGGGACATGCCTTCAGCACTCAGCCAGGCAGTTCACAACTCTGTCTTAGCCCTCATGTCTCGCTAGTGCAGAGCCTGGAGGTCAGCGAGAGATGAGATCTTAGGGCTTTCTCATAGTCGGGATATGCTTGAAATTATTGGAAAGAGCACTGGGCTGTGAAGCAGGAAGCTTCAGTCTGAATCCTAGCTTGATGAGGTGGAGCTTTGGATATAATAAATTATGGGAACCAAATGAATACAACTCTGGCACACAGTAGTGGCTGAGTTGGTGTTTATGCATGCATTTTCCCCAAGAGCATATTTCTAACCTACATGTGTCCAGAGTGATGACATCACAATCAAAATTAGAAAATATTAGCGTTTTTTCTGTTACGGAATTTCTAAGTTCAACTCCCCACATTTCTGGTTAAGTGGAGACAGTAGTTAGGAGTGCTGCTTAGGCTTCTCTGGCTCAGGAAAAGCCTACAAGACACAAATCTGGTAACCCTGGTTTTCTCTGGGAGGGGACGTAGGTGGCCAAGGGGTTCAGGTGGGAGACCTCCTTTTCTGTGCTCTTCTAACAATTTTGGGAAAAGACTGTGAGCTTAAAATTTGTATTCCAAGTTATATTTTAAATAGTTAAACTAAAAGTGATGTCTCAACTTATTTAAGAGAATAGTTTTTCTAAGAATTGCCCCCCCAAACTCGCACTCGAATCAACAACAAAAACAAACAAAAAACAAACCCTGTGCTTCCTGTACCACAAAGCCCAATCTCCTGAACTTGTTACCTGAAAGGCCTCTATCCTGCAGCCCCCACCTGAGCACCCTTTTCTCCTGCTCCAGCCACAATAGGCTATGATGTGACACTCGTCACACCTCTGAGCCTTTGCTCATGTTATCCCTTCTTCCTGTCCTTTCCTGATCCTCACATGGAGTAGCTGTTTCTTCTCCATGCCCCTTGACTCTCTGTTAACACCTGCCAAGTGCCTGGGTCTCAACCCTACTTCATGGTGGGTTCTTTCAGGTGCTCATCTTCACACCCCTCCAGAGCCAGCCTAGTTGGCTTTCACATGAGTTCATCACACAGAGGAAAACATCCCATTATATTTTTTTTCATTCACTTCTCTTCTTTAAATGTGACTTTTCTTCATGAAACATGACACATCAAGAAAAATCATGTAGGTCAAACTTCATGGGACAGTCACCTAGAGGAAATTTCCTACTGAATGAGCTCAACGGTAATATGGTACCAAAAGGGGCAAACAATGGGGGGAGGGGGGTTAACAAAGCAGAGTCTGAAGATATGAGAGTTGCTATGAAGCTGCTTCAGCCCATTTCAAAGAATTTCAGAGGGTCCCCTCAGACGGGGTGACACCTGATACCCAAAGCTCTTCTTTCAAATGTGGTAATTGGTGAGTAGGATGACAACATGCTACTAACCAGAGCTGCCCCAGCCAAAGCAGCTGTCACTGCAATATTTCCTAAGCTCATTTGTAAAGATCTTACATTCCCATTTCTAGGAACAGGTTCTCAAGAAGCAAGAGCACATTTTGGACACCTCTATGTACTGGACTGCAAAACATAAAGGGAGGCAATGAGGACACCTTTCTCTAAAGCTGTTTCCTCAGGAGTGAAATGTGGAGGGGCTGGGCACTGCTGGCTGTAATGAGCATGGAAGGATATTCAAGAGACTATCTAATATCCTAGGCAGCTGCTGGAAGTAGGCTTCTCAGTGCTCTACACACATAGGGCCCCAGGCCTGCTCCAGGGCAAGCTCCCAACAGTCATGCTGCTTTTGGGGAGTGCCAAGGAACCCCAGCATGGCAAACAGTGAGTGACTAATATTAACTTTGTGCGTTTTTAAAAAAAAAAAAAATCTTTTATTGATTTCAGAGAGAGGAAGGGGGAGGGAGG